TACTGGGCTGCATCTGGAAAAAACCCCAGAAGTGTGATGAAGGTAAGAGAGATGTACAAATGATTAACAGAGAGCCTCAAATGGGTGCAGTTATTCACTGCTTCTTCCATGGGAAAACTAAAAAGCATCAAATAAAGTTAGCGAGGTGCTGCTTCAAGAACAAGAGCTGCTTTCTCGAGATGGTGAACCTTCCCGCAGGCTCTCAAAAACCCCGGACAAGTCCATGGAAGGAAAAGTCTGTCACACACGTGGGGCTGTTCCCAGCTCAGGACGCACTCAGGGCCCTCACCATCACCGCCGTGTTCTAGCCCAAATGGCTGTTTCTTTGTGGCTGGCATTTCCAGCCATCACCTTGCTGGCCGCCATCAGACTGTCAGAAAATGTCAATTAAATGTCCTCTAAGCTTCTTCAACACCATCGCCTTTTGTTTCTAAACAAAGTTGTGAAAAATTTAAAGAGACCCCCACACACAGTGAGGCAAACTGCCACAGAACTGAAACACCTCAAAGACTTTTCAAAGCCAGGAGTTCAAACAAAGCAGACTCACAGTTGTCCTACGTGCAATGAGGTATCACTCAGCATGAAGTACCCACAGCCCCACGATATCAATATTAATTGAAGGAAGGTGAATGGCTTTTCCAGATTTGTCTGGATCTGGATTTTTCTGGCTTTTCTGGCCCAGTCTGCCTTCAAAGCAATCCCTCTCTAGGCTCAAACCCGGAGATGGGCAGCCACACCATGAATAAAGCTTTGACACATATTCTGCCTACCCCACTGCTCAAATTATTTCAAGCAAACTCAAATACTCTTTTTAAGCTATTCTAACATGCTACACAACATCCTGCTCCACTCATTCATGTGATATATATTAATATTTAGGGTGGGGAAAATGATAGCACAACAAACCTTTGCACTTGTTACAAGCAAAGACAACATATTACAGCTTATAATGAAACGCGTTGCTGGCCATTCAAATTCCAGTAACTACGAGGATCTCTCACTAAGAAAGAATTTATTTGCCAGTTTCGCTGGGTGCAGAAGAGCGCCTGAATGAAAGGCACTGACATAACCATGCCAGCACGCCAGCCACCAAGAGCTGTTGTGATTTGTTTGAATTCAGAATGTGAAAAATAATTATTTCCAACCAAATATATTGGTTCACAGAAGTAAATCTTTACATAGCGCAGGCTCTTTTCAACCTCCTGACCTTCACCATCTGCAACACAGTTTATATTTCAAAAAAAACTTGCTGACATCTGCTTAAATGCCAAACAACGGCTGAACAGACTCTCAGCTTGAGCTTGGTTTTAAAGAGCAACTCTATCTTCAGTCGCTGTCTCTGCCAGTGGGAGAGATAGGCATGGTTTTCTGGACTAATTTGCAACACATTTGCCTTTCAATGGACATATTTTTTTAAAATGAAATAGAAGATTAATTATATGTGAGACAGTCCCATTCTTCTAACCTTATTTTGCGCCATGGCAGGAAAGCATTAACAGAGCCTGAGCCATTATTCAGTTCATAGGGACAAGATATTTCATAATCTGTGTTTCTAAAGGAAAAGTAAAACAAATTTTCGAACTCAAATGTGGATTGTATTTCCTACATAACAGTCTTATTTAAGTCTCTATGTCACACCAGTGAAGGATATTTAACCTTATTAGCAAAGCCCCGGATAAACAACATGCCATTTACAAGGCACATAAATGACACAGAAATGTAAAATATTTGTCTTCCACCCCAGGTAAATCACAGAACGTGAGGAGTTGGAAGGGTCCTAGAAAGTTCATCCAGTCCAACCCCTGCCAGAGCAGGATCACCAGACCAGGTCACACAGGAACACATCCAGGTGGGTTTTGGACGTCTCCAGAGAAGGAGACTCCACAACCTCTCTGGGCAGCCTGGGCCATGCTCTGTCACCCTCACAGTAAAAAAGTTTTTCCTCATGTTCACATGGAACCTCCTATGATTTGATTTGAGGCTGTTTGGTACCTGTTGCTATATTTCACTCCTGTTTGCCCAGTGTGCTGGCTGACTGCTCGGCACGGCCGCGGCACGCTGTGACTGTCCTCCACAGCCACGCATTACAACTGCGCAGCTACAGAGTCGTGTTGAAACACAGCACAGCTGGCGGGGTGACAGGCAAGAGGAGAAAAGGGAAGTGGTAGGTGCTGACTTCACGACACAGGACGCCTGCTCTGGTGCTCAAAGCAACAGTCGCGCAATGCACAAAAGCTGAGGTGGGACTGTTTACAAGGGCATGGAGTGATAGGATGAGGGGTGATGGTTTCAAACTGAAAGAGGGAAGATTTAGATGTGACATTAGGAAGAAATTCTTCCCTGTGAGGGTGGTGAGCACTGGCTCAGGTTGCCCAGGGAAGCTGTGGGTGTCCCCTCCCTGGCAGTGCCCAAGGCCAGGTTGGACGGGGCTGTGAGCAGCCTGGGCTGGTGGAGGTGACTCAGGGGAGCTCTGAGGTCCCTTCCCACCCAGACCATGCTGTGGTTCTGTGATTCTTTCACTTCTTTGTGCAAGTTCCAAAAATTCATTTCCAGCTGTAACTGTCCATAAAACATTTTAAGGAAAAAGGAAACATCAGCCTGAAAAGAAACAGAACCAGCTTCTCATAAAGGGCAGATTCACATCCATGGTGGGAATACTTCTGTACCTCAAATACCCCAATCCCAGATATAAATGGGGGAATGGCACATGCTGAGCCGATTTGTGCAAGTGGCCCCAAGTCCATCACTGGTTCCTGCAAACCCACCCACTGACCTGGCTGGGTGCCGGCCATGCACACCTGGGCCATGGAGTCACTGACTGACCTGGCTAGCATGAAAAGCACATTTGAAATGATAGTTTAAAAGTAAAAAAACAAGAGCTTGATACGAAAACACCTGGGCAACACCCTGCAGCAACCGTTTATCAAACAACTAGTTGTGCACAACCACATTCAGTTAGCATCTCTATCACAAAAGCCTTTCAGCAAATCTTGCAAGAAAGCTGCTGGGATATAGCTTAGGTTAAAATTGTATAGGGTTATGCTTTAAAACCCCACTAGTGTTCCCTACAAAAACACAGAAAATCTCAGAAAGATTACAGACAACTTCCTACTGAAAAATGCTGAAAACAATATGAAAATGTTATTCTATGCTTGATCTTCATTGTATTGAGACCTCCTTTTCCTTAGAGTATTCTAAAAAAAAAAGGTAATGAGAACATATCTCATATCTCTTAATCAGCATCATGACTAAGACACTGGCCTATGCAATTTTTTTTCTTTTCAGAATGTACGTGGAGATAATCTTACCCAAAGGTCTGACTTGCAGGACTGCAGGCCACATTTTCCAACACAACCTGTACAACGAATTCAAAAGCGAAATTCCAGTTATGTACAGGCAGAATGGCCACACGTGTCAGCGACTGGATGAGGCCCGTGTGGGATTGACTTCATCATTACTATTTTACCCAGCAGGAAGCTGGACAGATGAAGAAAGGCATTTTTTGGTGATTACTAATGAGCACACATTACTCTTAGTGAAAAATATCTAAATAAAAAGATATGAAGAAGCGTTAGCCATCGCAGAAGCATCACTCCGTTGTTCCCAGGCAGCTGGCAGAAGCCTTGGGTATGTGACTACACAGCAGCACAGCCCCTCTGTCTCATTTTCATGTCAGTTCGTTCTTTTTTATTGCAATCATCACAGCTAACAGGCCTCAGTTCTTGGAGCTCCTGACATTTTCTGAGACGCTATCAAAACTAATCATCTCCCTTTGTTCATCTTGATAAAAGGTAACTGGAAATCCCAGTAAGCCACTCCTGAGATTTTAAAACATACTCCAGTAATTGTGTGCTAATATGAGACCTGTTAGACCATGCTGCAGACTCCCGAAGGAAGCCACATCTCACTGCAGAGCTAAACCCAGACTAAATAAAACAACGTGAGTTGTACATCAGGCGGTGGTGCTTCACTAGCCTTGGGGTGTGAAATGGAGGGCTATCTGAAGTAGAAAATCGGAGATGGGTGGTGGATGGAGAGATATCTGAAGTAGAAAATCAGAGAAGAAAAGAGCAAACCTGTGGGTTTTTTTCCTACTTATGTTTATTCATGAGCCTCAACTTGATATCCTCGAAGTTCCTGAGCCACATTAAATCCTTCTGCAGCTGTACTTCTCATGCATCCTCCTCCAACAAAGCTTTCTGGAAACGCGCATGTTTAATGAGGGCGCTGGTTACCTCCACCGTGCAGCTGCGAGGCCTGGCACCAGGGATAGGAATGGGGAAGCAGGAAAAAGCCACTGGCTCCTGAGACAAAGCTTTTTGCAGGAGCTGGGGTCTCCCCAGCTTCCACACCAGCAGCTGTTGCCAACCAAACTGTCTCTTCCTCCAAATGGGGCAGGTACCTTGTTTTCTGGCTAATTACCAGTTTTCTCAAGGGTGATGTGAACTTCAAACCACTGAGGAAGTCAACTTTGAACCGCACTGGCTGGAAGCTACAGTTACCCTAACCTCGAGTCCAGAGTGTCCCAGATCTGTAACAGAATCAAAGGGCAGAGCAAGAGGACGATAGGGACACCTAACACAGAACTTGGCTTAGCACGTGCAGCCCCAGAAGAAGGCGCAATCCTTACGCTACAGAAGAGGCAGCGAATCTCTGAGCCTCCCCCCTCTGTGTAGCTGCAAAATCAAGCTAACTTAGTGTAGCTCGGTCAGTGTCAAAAATGGCTTTTTGAAGGTGAAATCAACTCAAAATGCAAAGGAGAACCTGAAGCACATCACGTAAATGCGCTTTAGGAAGAAGAGTAGCACAAGAAACCAAAAAAAGTCTTCCTCTGGAGATCTCTCTCTTATAAATTCACCAAGCATGCTACAAAGAAGTATGACCCCATAACTCTGTTTTATGAGCACTATTCCATACTATATGGGTACTTAACCTAAGGAGCAAGACACATAAAACAGCCTTCAAACCTCTGATTTCTTACAGAACATTGGTATTTGTCAGCAAAGCACTTCTTAATCATAAGGTAAAGTCTTCTGCTTGAGTTTGTCACAGTTGGTTTGACACTACACTTCCACTCCCAACAGTAATTCAATTACCAGATTAAAGATTTTGTAATTTAATGCATTATTTTCTTGCTGGCACGTTGCAACTAATCTTTTAAATAATATTTCAGTTGCACACATGCACATACATATATATTATGAATATAAATTAATTCAAGTATTTCACAGGGCGTGAAAACAGATTTAATAAAATAATAATACATAATATTAATAACAGTATTAGTATAAAGTACACAGAGTTACACTCAGCCAGTATTGTGGGGGAGCAGGCCTCAGGGGTAGGATGGTGGACAAGTCCCTCTTGAGATGTCAGCCATGGGAGAGGGAAGAAGGAAGAGGGAAGAAGAAGTGTCATCCCCAGCAAAATCCCCAATTTACAGTGAATATGACATTTATGGCCTGGATTAATAACAACTGGTCAGCCCAGGGTCAGCTTGGGGTCAACTGCCCTGGGTTTCCACTACTTCCAGCCTATCTCAAGTCCACTGAAGGCCTTCATCACATACCAGTGCTGGCCAAAAACTGTAACAAATGTCTGATCACTTTGTTCCCATAAAATAGAGCACTGTAGCCCTTACAGACTCTAAAATCCTGTCCCAGTAAACCATGACAGGCAGTCGTGTCCGATGTACACGGTGCCAAGGCAAGGGTGTACTCACTGGCTCTCAAGGAGGTGGGACAGCCTGACGGGTTCCTCCTCCTGAACACACCCCAGCTGCCAGGTGGGACTGCAGAGTGGTAAAGAGGTGAGATCACGTCCTCCCCATCTACAGAAAGCAGTTGGATTTGGCCAGGCAGATCTGATTCACACAGCTCTCATTGCTTCCTAGTCTGCAGGATCCTTTCCACATCCCACTGACCAGTGTCATGTTAAAGGGTGACTCCACCACTGCCCTGAGCAGCCCCTTCCAGTCCCTGATAACCCTTCTGGGGAAGAAATTTTTCCCAATATCCAATCTAATCCTTCTCTGGTGCAACTTGAGGCCATTTCCTTTCATCCTATGGCTTGTTACTTGAGAGAAGAGACCGACCCCCACTCCCTACCCTGTTCTTTCAGGGAGTTGCAGAGGGTGATAAGGTCTACCCCCCCTCAGCCTCCTCTTCTCCAGACTGAACCCCCCCAGCTCTCTCAGCCCCTTCTCCTAAGATTTATGCTTATTTAGAACAGGTTGTCCAGGGAAGTTGTGGATGCCTCATCCCTGGAAGTGTTCAAGGCCAGGTGGGACAGGGCTTTGAGCAACCAGGGCTGGTGGAGGTGTCCCTGCCCATGGCAGGCGGTGGACTGGGGGGGCTTTAAGGTCCCTTCCAACCCAAACCATCCTATGATTCTATGCTCTAGACCAGCTTCATTGCCCTTCGCTGGACACGCTCCAGCTCCTCAATGTTGTCCTGAATTATGGGAGAGTCTCAGGCTACAAAGGCAGCGTCTGAACGGCATGAACTGTTGACTCCAGTCACACTGGGCTGAGCTTAACATAGAGCAGCAGGAAGAATGGCAGCATAAAGCAATGCACTTGTAGAGAAAGTCTGGGGCTTTTTCATACCTTCCTGTAGGTATGCTTGCCCACCCCATCAGGCTGTCTTCTGTTCTTGGAAAAACAGGGGACACCACAGAGCATTAGCTGTACTCTGAAACTGTACTTGTCAGCTCTGAGAGACAGAACTTCTTGCACATCACATACAATCTTCATCACTCTTCAATCGTCACTGGCCGATCTCACTCAGACGCTACTGAGTGAGTTTTAACTGACACAATTCCCAAAGGACAAGCTCTTGACATACACAGACCAGGATATATTTGGTGATTTCAACAGAACCACCCAATTTTCACAAACTGAGGTGTGAACAGTACAGTTCATTAGTTACTCGTGCTCATCATGTTCTTTAAAAAACCCAAAAGTATATTAACTTCACTGACATGATGGCTGACGGGGGATGGGGGGAAGCGGGGAGAAAAAGGCCCCAAACACCCTAAAACACAAACAAAAACCCTCACCAGACAAGAAGTGGAATATTTTGCAGACACTTTGCTAAAAGCATCTTCTGTTTTCTTTTTTGGAAAAATCTAACCCATCCTATCATCACTATTTCTAAAAATAACTGTCTTGATAAACAGATAATGAAAATAATCTGTCATTAATCTTGTACAGCTGCAGCAAGTACACAACAGCCCGGACTACATTACTCTGGATTCAAGGAAAATATCTTCTAGCTACAGTTTCCTGAATTTGATATCTACACCCTCAAAACAACTTCTCTGCACTCAAAAGTAGTCACACCAGAATAGGCTTTGTGTAAAAAAAGATAAATTACTGTTAGAAGAGATGCCCATCAAGCATGGCCTGCTAGGACGCAAGACCCTGACCCTGTACATCATGGAGCCCCACTGAAAACACCACGATCTAACAACGAGAAGCTGAACCTAGACAAATCCAAATAAGAAACACAAAGTGCAAGTCTTTACCAACAAAAGCATTTAAATTTTATCAACTTGCCTCTGGCTATAATGGATTCTGTTATATGTAACCTTTTAAATTAAGCCTTGGAGCCTTTCTAAAAGATAGTATCTAGGTCAGGAACAAGTTACAACCTGCATCGAGCAGGAAGTTGTAATGATGGTTGTGATCCTTTGACGTAAAACCAACCAAACAAAAAGACCCAAACAGCGTATGAAAGTGGTGCAAGGGATCTCTGGCCAGAGTGAGGAACTGGTTTCATAACACTTCATAGTAAGGAACAAACTACCTTACCTTGTTTACATCCAAATACTCTAACTTTGGCACTTCCGCTGTCTCCTGTTCCTCGCTGCTCCCTTCGTCAATGTCACTGTCTTCATCCTGCGTGGAGTCTCTCTTCTGCTCCGCAGAGGAAGCTTTGGTGCCCTTTTTGTCAGGTTCCATCTCGCCTGGGTTCCCAGCCACACTGGGCTTCTTCTGCTCTGCCCCATCTTCGCTGGGGAAAGTTTCCCCTGCCAAGCTACAAGAAGGACTGTCGATGCCACTGTCTCTGTTGGGAATTTTCCCATTACTGTTCAGTTCTGCAGTCGAGTCCTTATTGCCAAGCTCTGCAGAGGGCTCTTTGCTCACAGTCACCGCAGTACAGTCTTCATGACTTTTGCTATCGCCTATGCTTAGCTCTTTAGCTTTCATGATGTCTGTGTTAGCTAGATCCGTGCTGCATGGTATGTCTGGCTCATTTTCATCCTGTTCACTTTTCTCATTTGTGGAAGAGCCACTGGAAGCCACCACGTCGCAGTCACATGAGCTCAGCTGTTTGGATGAGTCCAGGCCGGGTTCCATCTTTAGAGCTAAATTCAGCTGGTTTCTTTGAAGAATATGTACAGGTTGCCTGCAGGTGAAGAGAAAACACCACAGTCATTCATATTAAACACTCAGAGGTTTCAAAAGTGGCCTCAAAAGAGAGAGGGCCTGATTATAGTTTGATTCAAGTTGTATTTCTTGCATCCCCCTTACAATCCTAGGAGGCAAGGGTCTGCACATTGCTGTGTTAATATTCTCCCAACAATTCTGGATAAAAACGCACCATCCCTAGCAATGAGTTTTACTGAAATGGGCTTCTAACACTCCCCTCGTTGCCTTGAAGAACAGCCTGGTCTGAACGTTTGGGGAGGGAGGATTCGTCATTTAAAAAAGCAGCATTCGGTTGTGGGTTCGTTTAAACAGGAACTCATGTTCTTCAACAGAACAAAGCCTTTGGGGCAAGGTATTTTCTGCCCAAGAGGGGATGTTTTTGGAGCACAAGAAGGCACTATATATTCTTTTCAAAAAACACCTTAGCAGATTCACCCAGGTGATAACACACTCCAAGGCACAGCACAGTGCCTCTGCCTCCATCTCCCTCTTTACCAAAAAATCACTTGGCTCCATCAGGCAGATTTGGTCTTCAGAGAGAGTTTTCATGTGTTTGTAAGATGAGCTGGTTTTACAGTGAAATACACATATTTTATCCTATTTAGCATCTCTTACAGACGCAATTTCAGAGGAAACGCTGTTCTCCATGACATTGTTTCACAGTACGTTGCGATACAACTGTCCCCTGCCTCCAAGAAGCAAGCAAACTGTATGTGTGATGTTTACTGAATCTTAGACCAAAACCTCAATTATTTTATATCACAATAATCAAGTTCCTATAATGCAAAAACCAATCCCAACACTACATCAGCTTACTGAAAGCAGACTCTGGGTTAATTGTTTCTGGTAAAGCACTTACCAAACTCAGCAGATTTTAAGCTCCTTAAAAACAATCGTATGTTACAAACGAAAAGTTGCTGAAATACATTTTTTAATTAAAAAAAATAACAAGAATCACTGTGTAGTCATTCAAGTTTTGCATTTCCAGTATAAAACATCCTGAGAGAAGTTTCTATATTATATATTTTAAAAAGCAGAAAAGAGGGATTAGAGCAGATCTCACAAAGCCATACTTACCTAATACTTTCAAATTTCTCGATGAGCGTGTTGACTCCTGCTGATATCGGTATTTCCTCCTCTCCAGGGGCAAAGCTCCTCGACGACTTGGGATCAGCTGGCAAAGGCCGAGAAGGTGCAGGGGGAATTCTTTCCTGCCCAGGTTTGAGATGGACAGGCTTAGGAGGTACTAAGGAAAGAGAGGGAAAAAACGGGAGGATAAATCTCCATCTTCTTTATCCTAAACTGGGAACAAAATCCAAGCGCTCAGTGCAGAACAAGGAGCATCCATTCCTTCACCATCCTTTATAAACTGCACCAGTACAGTCCCAAAGTATTTGTTACACCAAAGCAAGCTGCTGTACGCTAAAGAAAAATGACGGGCTTCTATTTTGTATTTCTACGGCCGTAGCAGACGTGTTAACAAACGGAGCAGCTCACAAAACTTTACCGCTTCCTTGTTACCAAACAGGATGCACAGCTCACGCTTCATTTTTGCAAATGTGCTCGCCATCTCAAGCACACTAACAGTTTCCCCTCCCATGAATTTTCAAAACTCAGGCACTCTGTTGAATCTCTTGTACTGGGAAAAAAGGGGGGAAAAAAACCGCAACAACCTAAAACAAACCACCAATTCCACCATAGCTTTCAGTGTGTTGTGTTTGCTTGGTCAGAAACACTACAGGCAGAACAAAATAGCTTTTCTTCCTTTCATTCTCCCTCCCCCATCTCTTCTGTGGTGCAGCCTTCATAAATTTCCTTCCTCTTTTGGTTCTACACTGCATTATATACGATATAAATAAAACACACGTTGTAAGAACATATACATTCCGCTTAAGGGTTCACTAGGAGGTAGAGGTACAAAGTTAAATACAGTATTTCAAAAAATGTAATGTAATTAAAATGTAACGTAATTTTTAAAAATTTATTCAGACCTCATATTGATTGCAGAGTAAATAGATTGCAGAGTTTTGGAAATACGCAAGCAGTAACCCGTGGCAACAGGTTCACGTGCTGTGATAGATTCAAACAGTGAAAGCAGACCCGACACCAGAAAGCAGGAAAACCAACTGCGCAATTGCTCCCAAAGCGCTGCCAAGTGTCCCCTCTGGTCCAGACTATCAAAGAGTTACCATATTAAACAGTGAAACACTAAATACGTGTTTTATTAAACAACATTTTCAAGAACAATTAATTTCAAGCATTTCCAATGTTGAAATGATCCATATGGCACATCAGCATAACGTGATTAACACTGCAATGGGGCTTTAATTTGCAGCTGTGCAGAATGTAATTTTAGGGTTACTTTCCTTAGGAGGCTAAATGAAGGCTGGCATATGCACCCAAAAAGTCAATTCCTTTTCTCCCTACCCTGCAGAAGGGTCTGCATCTGCTTTGAGCTCCACATCAGCCCAGATGTGCTCCAGCAGACAGGGAGCTGCTATGGACGGCTGGTGTCTGAGGTCAGCGATGAAGGACTGCTAACGAGGTTTTGGGCTCTGACCATAGGTCAGATTTTAAACTACATACATCACTGACTTTATTTCAGCACCAAAGAATAAAATCACATCTTCTAAGGATTTGAGATTTAGTAGGACACTTACTATCAAAGGATGGATTTGCCTCCAAAACCATCTGGAATTCCTGTCTTAAAATAAAGGTGTTACAGTTCAATTTTGAAAACGCCACCACACAACCTATCTTACAGAGAAATAACAGGTAAGCAGGAGACAAAAAGTCAACTTGCATATAAATGGGATGGTAGAGCTTTGTGTTTTGTTCACCAGGTTTTCACTTGCACACCACATTTCCACTTGAACAGTGAGCGCTCGGCCACATTTCTACTCGGAAACACAAAACAAAACAACCCAAAAAAGGTATTCACGCATCCATCTGGCTCATCGGGCCAGAAAAATCAAGCTCAAGGCTCTTCACAGAAGGTCCATAATGCAGCAGGCAGACAGGCCAGAACCTACCACACATCCCCTATCAGGCCCTTTGGAGTTTCAGACTGGTCCCCACAATCAGTTCACTGCCAAAGCGTTTCCATCAAACAGCAATGGGTGTCACTGCTGTCCACGCAAAAATGTTGTGTCTTTCCTGTTAGGGGACTCCGCCTGAATCACCTGAGACAACACACTGTGCTGGACAGAAAGGAAGCAGGGAAACACTTCTGCTAGCTCTGAATTGTTATTTACTGAAATAACATTGAGAAACAGAGACATCAGCACGGAGGCAGAGCCGCTGACCTTACCAAACACTACTTAGGGAGCAAAATTTAGACAACACCAGATGTCTACTCCAGAGTTGACACAAAAAGCCAACATTCAGAATTTATGAGGAAGTGGTGCTACATATCACAACACAGACTTATAAACTCAAAACCATTTTAGACTTCTGTAAGAGTGAATGAAAGATCTGCCCACTAAAACCAACCACCACCAGATGAGCTCAGCTGTACGTGCACCATCATCGCCAGTACTAAATGAACAGTCAGCCCCAGGAAAAAAGTACATGCTGCTCTTAGAGATCCAGGACCCAAAGTGGGAACCCAAGCAGAGCTCCTGTCCCCTCTCTGCAGCCACCTTCCATGAGTCCCAGCCCATACAGTTCCAATGCTGCTATTTGCTCGCTCCCGGTCCCAGCCACAAAGCAACACGACCTTGGATGCAGCTTCCAGTGCCCATCCTGTGCACAGACAAGTAAACTGGTGGAGAAAAGAAAGCAAGCCAGCTGCATGGAAGAGACGATAGTATTATATAGTGCCATTTAGGTGGCATCTGAAGGCAGAAGCCCCACGCTGGAATGGTATTTCCCCGGTCCTCCTCC